AGCTGCCATGTTTGTGGGGCACAAGTTAGGGAGATATAGCTCCTTACTGTCACCCTCAGCAACCGGAGGAGTTCCAGAATTCCAGGGACCTTGACTCAGGCCAAATCAGGATTCGTGGCTTCAATGCTAAAAGAGATTTCAGAACCAGCCAGTGCATTAAACAGAGTTTGAGATTTTATTCAAACTGTTTTAATATAGGTGTGACCATGAGGAGTAGAGAGAGAGTGTAAGACCTACAGAAGGGGGCTCCTCTGGGGGACACGGCTTGTCCTTTTTATAATAGTCACATACAGGATTTGGGTGGAATATGAAGTCACTGTCTTATTTCTGGTGTTTCCTGGGGGCACCTGGTACAATTAGAGTAAGACAGAACCCACAGGGAGGTGGGATCTCTTTATGGGAAACAGTTTGAAGGTCTTGGGCAATGTGTAGGAAAGGGGTGACACCCTACCTAAGGTCATAGGCATCCAGGCCTTAAGCCAAGGGTCACTGCTATTTTAACATACAGTATCTATGTATGAAAGGAATAATTAATGGTGGCAGGCTTCAAGTGTTGACTGTGTTTGAATTCTTGCTTCTCAGCTAAGCCATCAGACTCCGGGATGCAGGCTCCTCTCCCTGCTCAGGTCCCCATAATTACCCTCAAAACCGTAGGTCACAAGGTTGTGCAGAGAGATGGGTTTTTACTGTAAGCACAGTCTATAGACTTTTTTTTGGTGAAATTCCAAGCAATCTCAGGTTTACAGCTGAGAAGAAAGCAAAGCCATAATCCAGGTCATATATGCTTAGGCCTTCAGCATGATTTATTGCTACTTTAATTTTTTTAAAGAGATTTATTTATTTTCATTTATATATCTGTTTGCCTGCATGTATGTATGTGGACTGTGCTTAGGCCTGGTTCCTGAGGAGGTCAGTAGAGAGGGCTGGATCCCCTGGAATTGGAGTTACAGACAGTTGTTAGCTGCCATGTGGATGCTGAGAACTTAATCCTGGTCCCCTGCAAGAGCAGCCAATGCTCTCAACTACAGAGCTGTCCCTTCAGCCCCTATTTAACACTCTTCTTAGAAATAGTTCAATAAAGGAGATTGTCTTTATGTCGGCAACCTTCACAACAATTTATTAATTGTGCTTAAATTCTTGGCTCTTAACTGGCAACGGGTTTTAACCAGACTCTGGGGAGAGGATCTCTTCCCCTGTTCCCTTGACTTTCCCTGTATTCATTTTCACTTTTGGTTTTAAAATTGCCGACTAATCATACCTGTAGTATGAAATACCATATCCCTTTTCAGTGAATATGAATCGAAAGTTCTAAGTGTCATAATTTGATTGACAGCATTTTGTTTGTTTGTTTTTTCAGACAGGGTTTCTCTGTGTAGTTTTGGAGCCTGTCCTGGATCTCACTCTGTAGCCCAGGCTGGCCTCAAACTCACAGAGATCCGCCTGGCTCTGCCTCCTGAGTGCTGGGATTAAAGGCGTGCGCCACCACCACCTGGTAGCATTTTTGTTTCTTATGGGAATATAAAAATACTGTATCATGCTCTCCATGGCGTCTTGGGCTCTATGGGCTGAACACTGTTACAATGCAGGGTTAGCAATGGACAAGTGAGGTGACACCTTGGTTGTCCACCCAAATTAACTGTACAGAGTCCTTTACATGGCACCAGAGGCCTAGGTGACAGTCATTTTTGATGATCAACCTTAGGTTTCCAAGGTTATCCTGGGGTCATGTCTCCAGCTACTTGTAAGGATTTTCCCATTCATTGAGCCTCGACGTGGCCCAGAGCACATCTGTTCTCGTTTCATTGACTGAAGTTTGGCCTTGTCTTTTTGCGGGGGAGTTGGGAAATGTAGTCTGGCTGAGGGACACTGATGAACAAAAGTTACAACTTTGGTGTACACAGTAAGCAACTCCGTGGTATAGAGAAGAGTCCCAAGAGTCCAGAACTTTCCAGAGGAGAGAAAACAGAACCCCAACCTGTGTATCTTGTTGGTCTCGTTGGGGATGTTGTCCTGAGTGAGAAGATACTCATGACTCACAAAACTAGCCTTATGTGGTTAACGGAGTTTGTGATGCTTATTCTAGACCAGGAATCTATTGGGGATACCTTTAGGTGGAAGAGGGTTTTCACAAGTGCGGAGGAAGCTTGTCCCTTAACCAGCTGACTCTGCCCCCTCTGGTGGCTCAGAGGGGCTTTAAGAGACTGTGTTGTTAGTTCAGTGCAGTATTGTTTGGGTCAACCAGCCCCAGCATGGAGAACAGAGTGGGTGCCAGGCACTTTGGTCTCAAAATTAGGAACTGTGTGATTTAAGCAAATTCCTCAGCATTTCCAAGCAGTCAAGTCACTTGTTTGTTGTGTGTTTGCATAGGTGTATGGGTGCATGTGTGTGCAGGTGTATATGTGCACAGGTGCACACACACGTGCGTGTGTGTGTGTGTGTGTGTGTGTGTGTGTGTGTGTGCAGGTGCATGTGTGTGCAGGTGTTTGTGTGCACAGTGCGTGTGTGTGTGTGTGTGTGTGTGTGTGTGTGTGTGTGTGTGTGTGTGCAGGTGCATGTGTGTGCAGGTGTTTGTGTGCACAGTGCATGCGTGTGTGTGTGTGTGTGTGTGTGTGTGTGTGTGTGTGTGTGCAGGTGCATGTGTGTGCAGGTGTTTGTGTGCACAGTGCATGTGTGTGTGTGTGTGTGTGTGTGTGTGTGTGTGTGTGTGTGTGTGTTTGCAGGTGAAGTCCAGAGGGTAACCTGGAGTAATATTCCTCGAGTGCTTTCCACCTTCCATTTGAGTCAGGGCCTCTCACTGGCCTAGAACTTCCTTGAACAGGCTAGGATAGCTGACTTCTGCCCCTCTGTGCCTCTCATCTCGAGATCGCTGGGATTATAGGTGTGTATCCCACACCTGACTTTGTATTTAGCTCTGGAGATCTGAACTTAGTTCCTCACACTTGCAAGGCAAACGTCTCACTGAATGAGCCATCTCCCCGGTCCCTGTTGTTTCTGAGATAAAGTCTCATGTGGCCCTGGCTGGCCTTGAGCTTAACAATGTAGTGGGGGATGACCTTGACCTTGTAATCATCCTGCCTCTGTCTCCCAAGGGCTGTGATTTACAGGTGTGTACCATCATGCACAAATTCCTTTCTTTACTTAAAAAAACTTGGTATACGTGTGTGTTCAGGTGCCCACAGAGGCCAGAGAATGTTGAATCCCCTGAAACTGAAGTTAAAGTTGATGATGAGCTGCCAGATGTGGGTGCTGGGAATCAAACTCGGGTCCTCTACAAGAGCAGAGTGTACTCCGAACTGATGAACATCTCTTCAGCCCAAAGCTTCCTTTATAAATACACATTCACAAATGCGTATGTGTCTGTAACCCTTGCTCTTATTTCCTACCTCTCAGGTCACTGTGAGGATCCAGAATGAATCACAAAACTTCATCCACACACCATACGGTATTGAGAATGAGTATGGAGGAGAGATCGCATGAATACTCCTGTTTGGTGTGTGGTGATGGTATATATATGTGTGGAGGCCCGAGGTCAGTCTTCCTCTGTCACTTCCATTTTATCTTTGGAGACTGGTCTTTCACTGAACCTGTGAAAGTGATTTCAGTGATTCAGCAAGACTAGATGGATGGCAAGTTCCAGGGATCCTCCTTCCCTCCTCCCCAGTGCTGGGATTGTGGCTGTGTACTGTGGAATATTCCTTTATACTGTGTGAATATATGTCACTGTGATTGGTTTAATAAACAAGCTGACTGGCCAATAGCTGAATAGGCTAAGGTTGGGCCGGAGAGCCAGACTGAGAGTGCTGGGAGAAAGAAGGGAGGAGTCAGGAGTCACGAGCAGACTCAGAGAGAAGCAAGATGGGCATGCCATACTGAAAAAGGTACTAAGCCACGTGGTGAAGCATAGATAAGAAATATGGATTAATTTAAAATGTAAGAGTTAGGTAGTAACAAGCCTGAGCTATTGGCTGAGCATTTGTAATTAATATTAAGACTCTGAGTGGTTATTCGAGAGTGGCTGCTGGCACAGGAAAACTCTGTTTACAGTGTACCATCCCTCCCTGGTTCTGGGATTACAGCTGTGCACCTCCCCTCCCCAGTGCTGGGATTACAGCTGTGCACCTCCCCTCCCCAGGGCTGGGATTACAGCTGTGCATCACCCCCTCCCCAGTGCTGGGATTACAGCTGTGCACCTCCCCTCCCCAGGGCTGGGATTACAGCTGTGCACCTCCCCTCCCCAGGGCTGGGATTACAGCTGTGCACCTCCCCTCCCCAGGGCTGGGATTACAGCTGTGCACCTCCCCTCCCCAGGGCTGGGATTACAGCTGTGCACCTCCCCTCCCCAGGGCTGGGATTACAGCTGTGCACCTCCCCTCCCCAGGGCTGGGATTGCAGCTGTGCACTGCCCCTCCCCAGGGCTGGGATTGCAGCTGTGCACCTCCCCTCCCCAGGGCTGGGTTTACAGCTGTGCATCATCTGGCCCAGTGTTATGAAGTGCTGAGGACCCAGACTCAGGTCCTCAGGCTTGTGCTGCAAGCACGTTACCAACTGAACTGTCTCCCCGCCCTGTGGCTGTTTTTTGAGACAGCGTCTCATACAGCCCAGACTGTCCTAAGATTTGTTATGTAACCAGGATAACTTTAGGCCTCTGATCCTGTTGTCACCTCCCATGTTAAGATTACAAATATTGTCACCACACTAGTCAGTGAATACTCCTTGAATGAATGATGGTGACCTTGTTCCGGCTCATCATATCTGACATGTTTCATCGATTTTTGTTTTGTTTTGTTTTGTTTTGGATAGGCTCTCACTATACAGCCCTGGCAGGCCTGGAACTTGTTACACAGACCAGGCTGACATCGATCTCACAGAGTTCCACTTGCTTCAGTTTCCTAAATGCCAAAGGCTTGCCTGGCCCATCAGCTACTTGTTGAAAACTCCTTTCCCCTCCTTCTGAGACCCTTTGCACATTTGTACACGTGCATGTGTATACACACACACACACACACACACACACACACACACACACACACACACGATGGGGCCCGATCCTTTCAGCATTTAGGGTAAAATGAGAGACAGAGATGAGTAACAAAGGCCTGCTACTAGCACAGACTTCTCTGGGAAGGAGGAAGGTTGGGGTGGGAATGTCCTCTCTGGTGTGCCAGATGTGTGCATTCTTTATTGGCAGCAGCCTGTCAGTGGCAGGAGGTGCCCTTTTCCAGGTGTGGCCACACAGGTTTGACTTCCCAGCCTCAGGCCAGCCCCTGTGTCTCTCCACCGCGCCTTAACCGGAGCATCATCCCAGAATCCCCTGGTCTGGTCCTGACAGGGAGCCTTCTACACCTGCTCTGACTTCCTTACACCCTCTAAAGTAGAGAGACCCGGAACCAAGCTGCATTCTCTCCATCACTGGAGCTGTGGAAGGTGAGACACACAGAGGGGATGCGATCCCTTCAGAGGGGGCTGAGCATGTGGGAGCCAACTGAGAAGACTCTATCTGGGCTTTGATGACAGAGCACAGTGACCCACAAAGGGTGCAGAACCAAAGTGTTAGCCTCAGGAGCCGGGGCTCAGGGTTCAGACCCAGGGACTAGCTGCCACAGGAATGCTAGCTTTTCTGTTTGCCTCTGTGTCTTTGTGCGATGACCTCGCTCTCTACCACTGCAAACATCTGGTGTGAAGGCAAGGAAGGGTACAAGAAGGCGTGGCACCCACGGGGAGGAAGGAAGCTTCTTTTTGAGGTCTCCAGTGTTCGTCCCAGGGAATGAATGGTCCCTGTTCCTCAGGTCCTGTGCTCACCACTCGGTTAAATCACTGTAGTGGGTGGAGAGAATAAGCTCCTATAATTACTCAGGCAATCCGCCAATACTGCGGGGTGGGGGTGGGGGTGGGGTGGGGTGTTGCAAGAAAAATATGTGCAAAGGATAGCCACAGAAGGGGTGTGTGTGTGTGTGTGTGTGTGTGTGTGTGTGTGTGTGTGTGTGGTGAGATCTGCAAGCTGCCTTAGCTGCATCACAAGCTGAGTAATTTGGAGCTGCAGCAGCAGGACCACAGCTTTTCTGAACTGCAGCTGCTGCTTCCAGAAGCCTGGGTCAGCCGTGGTTGTCATGGTAACAGCCGGATGGAGGAAGGTTTCAAGAAAAAGACTGGGGTGAGAGTGTTTTGAAGGGTATCTGCCTACAGATGAGTCTTTCTCTCCCTGGGGGACAAAGGATGACAGGACTACTTAGATTGTCTCAGCCTGGGTAGAGGCAGTGATACATGGTGTGGAGTTTGGCTTTCCTTCCCCAAGGCTGCAGGAGAGAACACCCAAGCTCATTCTGCCTGTGCATGACTCTCAGGGGTTAACAAAGATGTGTTCCCATACCTAACTCGTCCCACAGGGGGCTGAGATGAAGAGCACACAGCCATAGAGCACATGGGTGTGCCGGGCTGGTGGAATACCCCTCTCTACAAGGCTTTCCTGCCCCTACCAGTTCCTGGTCCAGCAGCTGCCCACGCCCTCTTTCTAATGAGTGCACCTCATCACCTTCCTTTCCTGCTTCAATCCCTCCAGACTCCAGGTTCCCAGCAGAATAAAGCTTCGGCAAACGCCAAGCACAACCATTTTGGCCTCACGATCTCATCTTTTCTGGTATCTGCCACTCTCCCCGACTCATACTCCGCGATAGCCTGTGTTCCAAGGTAGCTTCTCCCTCTGGGCCTTAACAAGCTCTGTGTGTTGGCGATCTCTTCCTGTTTCCCCTGGAACAGTGCAGTGTCTTCTTCAGGTACAATGTGTGATGCAGGGGATGACAGGGGTCATCCAGCAGGGGTGACGCTCAGATGGGGGGAATACCAATCATGGGACTTTGTCCCGACCCTCCTGAGTCACATTTTCCCCACTGATTGCCTGCAGGTAGGCCCAAGTCTGCTCAGCCCTCTGCCCACCCCTGCCAGGCTAGCCAGCTTCCCATTTAGAGATAAGCAGCTCTCCCTTGCTCCTGTCAGGAGTGATTTATCTCTTTCCTCTAACGAAAGCCCATGATGTACCAAGTCTTTAGACATGTAGTGAACCAGCTAAAACCTCTGTCCTAAGGTGGATGTCTCCGTTACTTTTTTGTTGCTGTGATAAAATGGTATGACCAAGGCGGTTTACAAGAGGAGCCATTTACTTTGGAAGTTCATGGTTTCAGCAGGTCGGAGTCCCTGATGTCAGAGCAAAGGCATGGCACAGAGACAGCTGAGAGCTCGCCTCTTGATGCACAAGTTGGAGACAGAAAGAGGGAGACTGAGCGGTGGAATGGCCTTTTGAAGTCTTAAAACCTGCCTCCAGTGACACACCTCTTCCCACAAGGACTCACCTCCTAATCCTTCCCAAACAGTTCCACCCACAGGGGCTCAAGTATTCAAATATATGAACCGAGGCTGACCATTCTCATTCAAACTACCACAATGGAAATGATGTGTCAGTCCTGTAAGGGCTGAGTCAGGGGAATTTCAAGTTCAATGCCAGCCCAGCTACATAGTTAGATTCTGTTAAAATACACATGCACACACACACACACACACACACACACACACACACACACACACACACATCCCAAACCTCTTTGACCTTCATATAGCTTATGTTTGTGTGTGTGTGTGTGTGTGTATGTGTGTGTGTGGGGGGTGAATAAGCAATATATGTAATGAAAAAAGGTAATTATGTAATATGTTAAAAGACCCAGAGGGCTATGGCAAATAGAAGAAGTAGATGAAGGGAGTCTGGGAGCCCTGGGAGGAGAGGGTGAGCAGAGGATGTAGGCTAGCAGGATCAACCTTGTGTCCCTCAGCCAGGGCTGCTGTAAAACATCACTGTCTGGCAGTGTGAACAGCAGAAACTGATGGCCACGGATCTGGAGACTGGAGCCCAAGCTGCCAGTGCCAGGAAGGCAGGTTTTATTCCCACCTTTTCCTCACCATCTGTGTGGCTGCCAAGTCGCTGAGTGCCCCCATGACCTCCTTTGTGCTCGCACACATGAGAGTGAACATCTGGTTCCCTCTCCTAAGGATGCAAGCCCTAGCGGCCATGACTTCCTTCATCTTAGTTACTTCCTTGTAGACCCACGCCCAAACACTATCACACTGGGGGTTACCACTTAACATGAATTGGGGGAATTAAAAACGGGCCTTGCCAGCAGTTAACTCTGCAGCTCACACATGATTGAGCCTGTATGATAATGAGTATTCAGAGATGGGTAATTCCTGGGGGGCACTCACCAACCTAAGACAGAGTGCCTGTGTGGCCTGGGCAGGCATCTCCATGACGGGTAAGGTGACCTGCTGATGTCCCACGCAACCTAAGTCAGAAGCTCATTTATTAGTAAAAGGGGGACCTGTAGGGCCCTGGCCCCCGTTTTGGGTAACTGTTGCCTTGCTTGCTGACCTTGACCTTGATATCCTCCCTATGCTAATTCCCTCCCAGGTTTCATCCTCTTGAATGCTTAAGGTAAGTTTCTTGTCTATGTATCCTGTTAACAGCTTAGATGCAAGATTGTAAAACATCTGTAGCGAACTTCTGCTCTCCAGGGTTTTCCCATTGTGCTGTAAGCCTGTATTTAAGACCTCTTCCCTGCTGGGTGGTGGTGGCGCATGCCTTTAATCCCAGCACTTGGGAGGCAGAGGCAGGCGGATCTCTGTGAGTTCAAGGCCAGCCTGGGCTACCAAGTGAGTCCCAGGAAAGGCACAAAGCTACACAGAGAAACCCTGTCTCGAAAAACCAAAAAACAAACAAACAAAAAAAACCCCTCTTCCCTCCTTCAATAAACGGCATTCGGCATTAAAAAAAAAGAAAAGAGCCTTGCCTCTTTCCCACCCCACGAAGAGATGCTCAACACTTGTCTCTCAATCCCAGACAGACAAGGCCTTGGGGGCCTTTGCGGGAGAATTAATCACAGGAATGCTCCAGGGATGCTCTGGAAAGAAACGTGGTCAATTATGACATTCTAGGCTTCTTGGCCTGGTGAGTGAAGTGGACCCACTGGGACCTCTGGAGGAACCCGCAATGAACGGGAAAAGGCTTGCTTGACAGTGCATGTGTCGTAACATCTGTGACCTCCAGGGGGCGCCAGGTGTGCTTTCCCCGGTATTCGCTGGGTTCTCAGCTATGCTCCCAGGTTATCGATATATCCCAGTTTGGGTGAGGTACCTCATCTTGCTCCAGATCACCCTCAGAATCCCAAAGCACCGCTGGGTGAATTGACCCTTTAGTTACTGAATTGCATAATAATTATGTCACACACAAGCAGGCTTCGTGACAGGAACATTTAGAGCCTTCCACCCTTGATGCCTAAGGGATTGATTCACTGTAGCACAAGAAAGAACCATTTGGGGAGGTCACCCAAAACACTGATTCACGAGAAGCAGGGAGACGGAAGCATTCTCCTGGGAGGGGCCCCACACTACAGAATTTGAAACTACCTCCAATATTTTGATACAATTGGAAATAATAGATTATAATAGTTATTTATATTATTTAATTTTTTGTCACTCAAACTGCAGGTAGTCCTATAGGCAGGAATTGAGCTGAGAGAGAGAGAGAGAGAGAGAGAGAGAGAGAGAGAGAGAGAGAGAGAATTGAGGCCTGGGATGTAGTTCAACAGAAGAGCTTGCTTGGTGCTTTACCTGGGTTTGAGCTCTAGTATCTGCCCCATTCCCAACACAAAAGTCAAGAGCACCTCAGGGACTATTTGCTAGGAAGTGCCATGGTTGGGAGGGATGGAGCTTCCTGAAGAATGGAGTTGGTCTTGTGGGCAGTGATCACAGGTGGTCCACCCACAGAGAGAATGCTGCTCCAGGGGGCTGGAAGTGGGTGAGGCAGCTGTGGGATGTGGGATTGCTCTACAAGTCTCCCTAAGGAAGCCAGTGTCCGAGGCATACTAACTTTCTGAGTCTTCTCTTGGCAGATGGCTTACAAAGGATAGAAAAAAAGAAAGGCAAGGGACTGATTAGAAAATGACTTTGCTGGTCCACATGAGGATCCAGTGACCCCCAGGTCCCCAGCAAGAAGAGATGGGGTGAGAAGGATTAGAGACAGTCTCCTGCCCTTGTTTTGTGGCACTCTGTGGTCTCATTCATTTTATAAGGGAACCCTCTAGTCTCCTCAAATCACTCTGGGATGGATTTAATTCTATCACAAAGAGGTGTGTGCTCTGTGCATGTGTGATGGGAGGGAGGGACTTCCAGGGTAAAGACTGCACGGTTATTTATAGACTAGGGACCAACTAGCATGGATCTCTTTCTCAGGGTAGATCGGTGTCTCTTGGGGTTCAGGGCCCACAAAGTGAAGGACCAGACTGGGAGTCACGGTGACCCAAAGAACGGAGGACAACGGCACCTGATCAGCAGGTGCCATGTGGACTTGCACACGCTATCTACAGTGAGCCAGCACCGGTCTCCACCATCCGTATTGTTCCCTCGGGCTGCTGCAGGAGGGTTTGGTCCTCAATAGTCACCTGCAGTCATGGACTGTGCCCCACACAGTATGTCGGGGGTGGAGGGTGGGGTGGGGCATACAGCCACCGCAGTGGGCCTCTTTGCAGTTGCTGACACCATTTCAACCTGTATAGTCTCTGCTTCCTCACCGCCCCTGAGGAAACAGGACTATTGCTTTTATAATTCTTACTTAAAAGATGAGGAAACAGAGATCAGCATGTTGGCTCTAAGAGAACCTCAAAGTGCCACTCAAGCCTAGCCCCGCCCACCATTGTCTCCCACCCCTGAGGAGCAGAACAATGTCAGGATGAGTTAACCATGTGACTGGAGAAACCGACACGCCCTAGGCCTGCCTGAGGAGTCAGCATGCATCCTACTCTTTTAAGTCCTGAGTGAGCAGGAGATGAATTCCTTGGACCTTCTGCCCTCCAGTGGATTTGTCTCAGCAGCTTTCCTTCGGATTCACTTTCCTTACAACAGAATATTTACACAGGATTATGATCCAGCAGAAAAGAAAATTAAGCTGCCTCAATGAGTCCCCGCCTATATCAAGGTGCCCCTACATAGGGCAGCCTGGCCCACAAGGAGAGAAAAATCTTCAGTAGTAAGTGTTGCCTTTGCCTGTCCTGGGACGGGACAGGATGGGACAATTCAGACCCTGTTATCTCATCCTTATCCCATTCATCCCACAGGAGGGTGACAGACCCATGATTCTACTCCCACAAAAGTCAGAGCCGGGCCTTGAACTTCCCACCCAAGTCCTCATATCTTCCCTTTAACCCCTTTGGGGTCTTGAAACAATGCTGAGCAGAAATGGGAGGATGGCCCCGTGGCCTGTGCCGTCTAGGAGGGGCTCTGCACACAGGCACTGAGTTCCGCCTTTGTTCAGATCAAGGTTCCCCTGCTAGACGGGCTTTTCACTTAGTTATTACCCAGCTGTGGCTGCCTGGGTGGTGGGTAAAGTGACCTGTCACTCAAGCAGCTCCCACAGCCGTACCACAGATCATCCCTCCAGGTCTGTTACTCAAGTGAGATAAAGAACTTGGGAACTCCTAAGACCCATGGAAGGTATTTCATTCCACATCTTTCCTCCACACTCCCCTAACCACCTCCTCTTCCTCCTCCCTTCCTCCATCTGCCATCTCCAATCTGAGCAGACGCTACTCTGCAGCATTCCATCTACTGTTTCTGTTGGTTAAGAAGGATCAGAAACTGAATCCTTCCTCCCAGTCAGGAGCACTGCTGAATTATTCATAGACCCAACCTACTGCAAATTTCAGAATGATTTGTCTTCAAGGTTGTAGCTGTGAGGGTATGGTCAAAGGAATAATGAGTACCCCTGATACCCACAACAGTAAGCAGCTCTGTCCAACAGCACAGTTCCAGGGCCAGGTCACCCTGTAGCTTTGAGACAAGAGCAGCATTGAAGAAGCCGAACTGATTCACACTGCTTGGCCTTGAGTGGGTGGAACCCTTGATCTCCCTGAACTCTCTAGTCTGTGAATTAGCAGTTTTAACACATGGAAAGACAGCTGGGCCTCATCAAACCACTATACCTCTGGGGACTTATTCTCCCAATGCTGAACCATTCAGAAGAGTCATAGGGAACCAGAATCCTCTCCCTGAAGAGGAGATGGTTGCTAGCAGACAATTAGAAGCCAAGGCCACAGGAGGGAGAAAAAGTCTGTGAAAGGGCAAGAGATAAGACAGAACAACAGACTTGGGAGAGGATGTACTAGGCACTAAGCACTGTGGTAAGTACCTTGATGCTTGGTTGTTTAGTTATACACTCTTTCTCCTCCTCACTTGTAGCCTGGAGTTGCCCTATGACAAGATTCTGGCTGATAGGATGGGAGCCAAGGTGATTGGTCAAAAACTTCTACAAGAAGAAATGGTTGGTCCTGCGCATTATCTTTTCTCCTGGAAAGTGCAGGTGGTACTGGTGAATTGGAAGATACCCTAGAAGATGGCAAAGGAAGAGAGAAGGAAGCTCGGCCTTGAACAGCCAGGACTCCTTCCCCAGCCTGGACCAGCTGGCTACTGTGGACTCACGCAAGAGGAGACACACCTCTTCATCACAGCCTTCTGCTCTTCCCTCAGGCCTTGGCCTGTGTGACAGTTCCCTGGGAAGCAGTCTAGTACCCTCTGTTGACCCTCTGCTTCCTGTGAGTGCTCACCCTGTCCTCACTGGAGCATCCATCACAGTGTCCTATGAAGGCTTTTTCTTAGTTAGGGCTTCTATGGCTGTGAAGAGACACCATGACCATGACAACTCTTTTTTGTTTTGTTTTGGTTTGGTTTCGTTTGGTTTAGTTTTTCGAGACAGGGTTTCTCTGTGTAGTTTTGGTGCCTGTCCTGGATCTCGCTCTGTAGACCAGGCTGGCCTTGAAGTCGCAGAAATCCACCTGCCTCTGCCTCCTGAGTGCTGGGATTAAAGGAGTGCGCCACCACCGCCTGGCCAATGATGACAACTGCTATAAAGGAAAACACTTAATTGAGGCTGGCTTACAGTTCAGAGGTTCAGTCCATTGTCCTTGTGGCGGGACATGGCAGCATACAGGCGGACATGGTGCTGGAGAGGTAGCCAAGAGTTTGACATCCAGATCCACAGGCAGCAGGAAGAGAGTGAGACACTGGGCCTGGCTTGAGCATCTGAGACCTCAAAGCCCACCCCCAGTTACACACTTCCTCCAACAAGGCCACACCTACTCCAAAGGCCACACCTCCAATGATGCTATGCCCGATGAGTCTATCGGGGTGGGGCGTGCATTTTCATTCAAACCACTACAGACTTCACCACTGGTCTGAAACCCCACAAGGCTGGGAGCACCATGAGTCAGGGACGCAATCCCATCTGCCCTCACTTTCTCAGGTTCAAGAATGCAATAGGCACTTAATAGTCGCAGAATAAACCAGTGGAAGTGCCCCATGCTTACAAACTGCCTTCCTTCTTTCCTAAAGCGCTTTTACAAGCTCATCACAGACAAACACAAAAGAATAATTCCCATGCTCCTCTTCCTTCTTCCCAAGGCATTTGGACCTTTCTCCCTTCTATGATGGGTCACAAGAGGGCCCAGAAAGAGAGAGCCCCAGGTTAGGGGTGTAGCTCAATTGGTAGAGTGCTTGTTTGCATGCGCAGCGCCCTTGGTTCAGTCCCAGCTCTGTATAAAACAGGCATGGTGGCACGTGCCTGCATTCCCTGCCCTTGGAATGTAGAGGCAGGAAGATCAGAAGTTCAAGGTCATCCTTTACAACATATCAAGGTTGAGGCTAGCCTGGGCTACATAAGACCCTGTTTCAAAATAAAAATGTTCGTTCATTCCACTGCAATGGGAAGTCTGGTAGGGTTTTGTGGAGTGCAGCAGAAATTTCCCTCACCAGATTTGAAACCTAGGCAAAAACCTAGTATTTTGGTAGAAGAGAAGGAGGAATGTGTATGTCAGACTTAACCGGAAGAAGCATGTGAACTCTACAATTTGTTTTCCACTACACATAGCTGTGGGGTCTATCTCTAACAGGGGCAGGTGTTCATGAAAGGTTCCTCTGGTCACTGTAGCAGGAGTCATTTATCCTCCAAGACCCAAGGTCTTAGCAGCAACATCTCAGAGTCAGGCTCTGGCCTCCTGCCAGCCTTTCATTGAAGATGCTTTCCAAGGCATTGGCCTTGGCAGCGGCCAGTGGCTATGCTTTTAATTATAGCTTCCTGGTCTTTGCCAGATCCTCCTTCGGCCATCTCCGCACACAGCGAATCTCATTACGGCTAGTGGGGTCAGAAGAGCAGTCCGTCTGCCACACTGTCCAGCAGCCTCTGGTGTGGAGACTCAAAGCACAGCAGGGTCCACACCCTCAAACTGACCTCCAAACTCGGCTGTCACCTCACGGCTTAGGAGGTGTTAGGAACCAAGGTAGCCCCCTGCCGTAGTGGGGGTGATTATTCGCACCAGAATCCCACACATTTGTGAGCCTTGTTCTCTACCACCCTGTCCTTGATGGGCATCTCTCAGGTTTTCTGCCTGGTGGAATCCAGGAGGAGGGGAGATAGGAAGTCTCTCACAGACTGTCTTCATCAATTTTCTGAGACTATAAGAGAATACCTGAGGCTGAGTAATTAACGTAGGAAAGAAGTTTACTTAGTTCATGTTTCTGGAGGTTGGGAAGTCCAAGAACATGGTGAGAGCCCTGTGTTGCTTTAAATCCTGGTAGGAAGTGGAAGGGTGAGCAGGCATGCACCAAAGGGGCAGGCCTGCTTCACAGCAGTCTACTCTTGAGGTAACTGGTCTAGCCCTGAGAGAGAGAACCCATTCCGGACAGCCATGCACTCTCTCTCTTTAGGACGTCAGCACCTCTCAATAATGCCACTTTGGGAGTGAATATTTCAACCGGATTCCCCATGATTCTAGGGAACATAGTATTACAGTTTGGATCTAGAAAAGTGGTTCTCTGTAAGTTCAAGGCCAGCACGCTACATAATGAGCTCCGGGCCATCCAGGGGTGTATAATGAGACTCTGCCTCAACAAAGCAAAAAGTCGTGATGAGACTGACAGAGGCCATTGCTGAGCACACACTGCAAGCCACGCAATATGTTTTTCTCATCTAGTTCTCACAGTAATATGTGTTATTGTTCCCATTTTACAGATGAGGAAGTTAAGACTCAGGTAAGTCATGTAATTTTCCCAAGATGACTTCAAGGCCATGGATGTTTGACTCCTCAATTTCAACCACTGCAGTTTTGTAAGAGGATAGACTGCCACAGCAGTGGGAAGAAACTTGAGAAAGACTATATCCTACACCCACATTTAATGGTTCCGAAAAAAGGACTCCCCTATACTTAGGTATAAGAAAGGGTCTAGACAGGAATGAAACAAATAAAAACATAAAGTAGGGAGTCTGAACCTTTTCTTTCTGTGTAATGAGTCTGTTTTTACAACTATAAAATTCTAATTGCTCTAAGTATCATAGTTTTGTCAACTTGACACAGACCTAGACACACCTGGGGAGAAGGAGTTTCAACTGAGGAACCACGGGTTGGCCTGTGTGCATGTCTGGAGCATTTTGCTTAACTGACTTACCTATTCACACCAAATCTTCTAGAACTGGGGATACAGATGGTCGTGAGCCACCATGGTGCTGGGAACCAAACCCAGGTATTCTGGAAGAGCAGCCAGCAGTGCATTTAACTACTGAACCATCTCTCCAGCCCCTGCTCAGTGTTTTATGACAGCAACAGTAAATTTCTAGAACATTAAGTTAAAAACTCCAGAAATCATTTCTCCATATGATGTTGACTTCAACATCTTCTACGAGGTGTAGATTTGGTAAGGCATGTTAGCTTCATGCACTTGGCCTGTGGTGGTTTGAATGAGAATGGTCCCCATAGGCCCCCATATATTTGAATACTTGGTCACCTGTTGGTAGAGCTGTTTGGGAAGAGGATAAAGAGGTGTGATCTTGCTGGAGGAGGTGTGTCATGGGGCAGGTTTAGAGTTTTTCAAAAATCCACGCCATTCCTAATTGTCTCTCTCTGCCTTGTGATTGTGGATTGAATGTGAGCCCTCATCCATTGCTCCAGCACCATGCCTGCCTGCCTGCTGCCATACTCCCTGCAGCCCCAAATTAAACTCTTTCTTCTATAAATTGCCTTGGTCAGGGTGTCTTATCTCAGTGATATAAAAGTAACTAAGAAGTGCAGCTACCCAGCCCCGTGCTTAGAAGAGTTTATCCTTGGTTTCATTCTCTGCTAAATGCCATCTTGAAATGCTTAATGATCCTAAACAAGAGGCTTTGCATTGTTATTTAGCCACAGGCCATGCAGATTGTACAGCCAATGCTGCAATGTAGGAGAGTCAAAATAATGCATAGTGGTGCATACCTTTAATCCCAGCACTCGGGAGGCAGGAGGATCTCTATGTGTTCAAGTGATGCCAGCCTGATCAACCAAGTGAGTTCCCAGGATAGCCAGGGAAACTCCATCTTGAAAAACAACAACAACAACAACAATAATAATAATAGTAGTAGTAGTAGTAGTAGTAGTAGTAGTAATGATAATCTGAGACAGAAAACAGGTGGCCTGCCATGGCCTTCCCCTTGTCCATTTTCTAGGTTGTCCATTCATTGATACTGCACTGACAGCTGACATTGGCATCAGAGCAGGGGTCCAGTGATGGACCCATTAGAACAAATGAGGACCACAGGGATGAGAAGTCCTAGTCTTATCTTGGAAATCCTAGGAAAATGGGGACAGCTCAAGGCTTTCTGAGTTTAACTTAACTTGTGGCAAATGGTGTGACTTCAGATTCTAGCACAGATATTACCATGGCTGCTCTCAGTGGTCACTTTGACCACAACTGGAATCAACTGAATCTCAAGCAGCTGGGCACACCTGTGAGTGGTTTTTTTCCTTTGAGACAAGGTTTCTCTTTGTAACAGCCGTGGTTGTTCTAGAACTCACTTTGTAGACCAGGCTAGCCTTAAATTCACAGAGATCCACCTGTTTCTGCTTCCCAAGAGCTGGGATTAAAGGCATGCACCATCATGCCCAGCTGAGGGATTTTCTTGATTGGATCCTTTGAGATTGGAAGGCCTACCCCAAATCTAGGCCACACCTTCTGGTAGCAGCCCATATAAAAGAACATGAAGAAGAGAGCTTTTGCTTTTTTATCTGCTTGCCCTCATTCTCTCTGGAAAGTTCATCTATCCTGTCCCCGAGGTGTTCCTTCACTGAAGAACCTAAATTCTTCAGGATTCCAACACAGACTGAAGACCAGCAGCTCTTTAGGGATCCTCTTAGACTCCAGCACCACACTGGGACTACCAAGATCCCGCCTCAAGGACTGAACAACTATTGACTTCTTGGCCATTCAGCCATTGTTGGACTAGTTGGACCACAACTTGTAAGTCACTCTAATAAATTGTGTGTGTATGTGTGTGTGTGTGTGTGTATGTGTGTCTGTCTGTCTGTCTATCTATCTGTCATAGGGATTTTATTGTTGTGATGAAACACCATGACCAAAACAACTCACAGAAGAAAGAATTTCTTTGGGGCTAGTAGTTTCAAAGGGTTAGAATCCATGACCATCATGGTGGGGAGCATGGCAGTAGGTAAGCATGGTGCTGGGTCAGTGGCTGAGAGCATAAATCTCCATCCACAAGCAGGGGAGGGAGAGAGAGAGAGAGTGTGAGCGAGAAAGAGAGACAGAGACAGAGAGTGCTAACTGGGAATGGAAGGATTCTTTTGAACTCTCAAAGCCCACCTTCAGTGGCACACCTCCTCCAACAAGCCACATCCCCTAATTCTTCCCAAATAGTTCTATCAACTAGGGACCAAGTATTCAAATATGTGAGTCTATGGGGGGAGCATTCTCATTCAAACACCACACACACACACACACACACACACACACACACACACACACACACACACACACACTTCTACCAATTCTGTTCCTTTAGAGAACCCTGACTAATAATAACATGATACCATCTGATATAAGTTGGAACCCAGAGCCCTCAGTGTCCCTTGTACTGACTGAAACCCAGGCTTTGAAGAGGCTCTCCTTAAATGCGTGAGTGAGGATGAGGGGAGGTGTAGTATTAACAAGGCAGAGAAAGCAGCCAGAAAGAGCAGCTGGCACCCTACGTGAGACATAACCAGAGATCTGGACCCCTGCCCTTGCTGTACGGCTGAAGCATGAAGAAGCCACATCAAACAGTGATGTTATGAAGCAGAATGGGTCTGTCTTGTGTGTCTACTTCTTTCTCCAGCTTGCAGATATACCCCAACCTGGCTCCTTTGGCACTCTAACTTGTTCATAATTTTTCTTGGTGACCTCCCCCGGCCCCCACATTAACAACTGACTGTCTTCAAGACACTTCCCTGCAGATTCTGTGTGTCAAACCGTCATCTCTGCTGTGCTGACATCCTGTTTTAAGGATTCATGCTGTTATTAAATAGTAGAGGAGAGAGAGAGAGAGAGAGAGAGAGAGAGAGAGAGAGAGAGAGAGAGAGAGAGAGAGAGAGAAGGGGCTTTGGCCACTGTGAGATCAGCTGCCGCTGGGTGTGCAGAGCATAGGAGCGGGGGCAACATCCGAAACACACCATCTGGACAGCACTTTGGCTTTATAAAAAATGTATGCAGGACTGTGGGTAAGGCTTGCCTAGCACAAGGCACTAACAGCTCATTTAGAACCCTCCCCTTTGCTGATCTCTCGTCATTTCTCTCCTCTTTTATTTCTATTTTTTTTACATAAAAGATTTACTTTGTTTTATGTTTTTATGTGGATGCCTGAACGTATGTATGGGCACCACATGCATGCCTGGTACCGGGAGAAACAAGAGGAGGGTATTGGCTCCTCTGGAAATGGAGTTACAGGTAGTTGTGAACTGCCTGATGTGGGTGCTGGGAACTGCTAGTTCTCCTGGAAGAGCAGCAAGCGCTCTTGACCACTGGTCCATCTCTCCAGCCCATTTCTCTTCGCTTTAAACTGCAAAATTGCTTTACAGAATAGGAGTCCCAGTTGCCGTGCACACTTTGGTTTCTGACTTGTCATTGTTAGACATCTTTACACATCACTCACTCTAGTTCTCCTTGCTCTGTTCCATCCCCACTTCGCTGGAGTTGGAATGAGTTATCCTCCAGACTGCCTTGCTATTGGTACAGAATTCCAGCCTTCCCAGATGTCCTAGGCATCTGCATACTATCTGCCCCCAGGGCCTCTCTTGGCTAGCTCTGAGTTGGCAGCCTGCTCACACTGAGTTGTCATGGAGAAGGTTTAAAAGCATGGTGGGCATATTTCTGCCACCTGGAAACAAGTGGGTTTGTAGAAAAACCACCGTGGAGGGAGAGAGAGAGCTCTGGGAGGGCAGAGCTGGTGCCAAGGAAGTCGGCTGTGGTGCAGGGATGTGAGCCTAAGCCTGTACTGCTGTATGCTACTTGGCATTCTGGGCAGGCAGCCTCCGGCTGATCACCTCGTTTCCTGCAGAACTCCCGGGAGCTTGTGTCAGACAGAAGGGCATAGGTTGCAGAACACTTTGCAGATTCTAAGGAAATGGGGTTTTCTGTGGGAACAGACCAAGTGGGATCTAGACACACCCACAAAAATGTATGCATCTTGCAAGCAGAATCCTCACCTAAGCATTCCTCAAGGCTGTCTGTGTCAGCTTCTCATGGGACCGGGTTGTCTCCGCAGTAAGACATCCCATGTGCTACTCCATGCTGGGTCACTGCAGGGGCTTCAGGTAGCCCATCTGAAGCACCTGCCACTCCTCTGTCTTGCTTTGTAGGTCAGAAACAGTTAAACCTCATTGAAAGTTCTGGGACACTTGACACCTTCTATCATATCAAGATTATATAATAATATTAAATAAAATTAGCAGTAGATTTTTCTCTTGCTCCATGAGTGTAATCTATTGCCGTCCAAGCCATTTTAAATTCTGATACTATGCACATACGCCAAGCTGATGTGCACATTGGAAACTGTGACCCCAAAGTTACAGAACTGACTGCCTTTCCCTGGAGAAGGTTAGTATACTTTTTTCTGCTACTTGAGCTGGACACAATATCCATCTCGATGCCCTCATAGAGAAGAGGCATCTCAAAAGTGTCTCCTAACAGATTCCAAAGACTTGCTAACAGGTTTGGTTATAAGTGCAAGAAATTATACATTTTCATTACTCTTCTGTTTGTGGTGTGTGTGAGTGTGTGTGTGTGTGTGTGTGTGTGTGTGTGTGTGTGTGTGTGTGTGAACTTGTGAGCATGCATGTGGAAGTCAGATAGCCTCAGGTGTCATTCTTTGGGAGCTGTTTATCTTTTTTTGAGATAGGGTCTCTCATTAGCTTGGGGCTTGTCACTTGGCGAGGTTGGCTGGCCGGCATGCATCCGGGAACTTCCTGGCCATTCTCCAGTGCTGGGATTGCAAGTACATACCAGAACACCTGGTCTTTCCACCGGGACTCTGGGCATTGAGTTCAGATCCTCATGCTTGCACAACAAGCGCTTTACAGATTGAGCCATGTTCCTCCACCCCCTTTTTTTGAGACAGGATCTTGCTATGTAAGCCAGGATGCCCTGGGTTTTACTATGTAGCCCTGACAGGCTCCAAACTTAAAATCACCCTGCCTCAGTCTCCCAAGTGGTGCAGTTACAACCATGCACTCCCACAACAAGTTCACGTGCTCTTTTTCAAATTTTATTCCACGTGTATGGATGTTTCACCTGCATGTATGTACACCACTTGTGTGCAGTGCCTTCAGAAACCAAAAGGGGGCATCAGAACCCCTGCGGGCTACAGAGGGTTGTGAGCTGCCCTGTGGGTTCTGGGGATGGAACCCAGGTCCTCTGGAAGAGGAGCCAGTACTTTTAACCACTGAGCCATTGCTTGGCCCCCTTCCTATTTTTTCCTTCTTCTCTCCCTCCCTTCTTTCTTTCTTACCTTTCTTCCTTCCTTCCTTGAAGGTTCTTCCTGTATTTTCACCTTTCTTGGACACAAGGCTGACTTTACTTGTTTTAATAAACTTTCATAGCCAGCCCTTATCTTACTGGAGAAGTTTTGCTCCGTTCCTCCTTTCTCTCCCTTTGCCTGTGGCAATGGAGTCTGAAACCCAGAGCTTTTGGTTATACCCACATTAAGTAGTTGAAAACTGCTTCATTCCTAATCCCTTTGTGTTGTGAATCTTAGGCAAGAAGCAGGAAGGGCTTCTCTAACTAGTGCCACATGCATTTCAAGTGAGACGCAATCCAGTTCAGTGGAGTCCCCATCTCAGGCAGGCTTTCCCACCCAGACCCCTGGCTTCACTAGTGGAAACAAGTCTTGCCTGTGTCTGAAGGATGCTGTGGGACAATCCTTTTGTACGCTGTGAAGATGTCTTGCTCTCATTAGTTTAATAAAAAGTCAACTGCCCAATAGCTAGGCAGAAAGAAGTCAGGCAGGAGAGCCAGACTGAAAG